ATATAGTAATTCATCCCCATATAGTAATTCATATCCCCCATAGTAATTCATCCCCCATATAGTAATTAATCCCCCATAGTAATTCATCCCCCATATAGTAATTCATCCCCCATAGTAATTCATCCCCCATATAGTAATAATTCATCCCCCATAGTAATTCATCCCCCATAGTAATTCATCCCCCATAGTAATTCATCCCCCATAGTAATTCATCCCCCATATAATTAATCCCCCCATATAGTAATTAATCCCCCCATAGTAATTCCCCATATAGTAATTCATCCCCCATATAGTAATTATATCCCCCATATAGTAATTCATCCCCCCCATAGTAAAGTAATATCAATCCCCATATAGTAATTCATCCCCCATAGTAATTCATCCCCCATAGTAATTAATCCCCCATATATAATTAATCCCCCAATAGTAATTCATCCCCATAGTAATTCATCCCCCCATATAGTAATTCATCCCCCATAGTAATTCATCCCCCATATAGTAATTCATCCCCCATAGTAAATTATAGTAATTCATCCCCCATAGTAATTCATCCCCCATAGTAATTAATCCCCCATATAGTAATTCATCCCCCATATAGTAATTAATCCCCCATAGTAAATTCATCCCCCATAGTAATTCATCCCCATATAGTAATTCATCCCCCATAGTAATTCATCCCCCATAGTAATTTCATCCCCCATATAGTAATTAATCCCCCATAGTAGTAATTCATCCCCCATATAGTAATTCATCCCCCCCAGTAGTATTTCATCCCCCATAGTAATATATAGTAATTCATCCCCCATATAGTAATTCATCCCCCATATAGTAATTCATCCCCCATAGTAATTCATCCCCCATAGTAATTAATCCCCCATATAGTAATTAATCCCCCATATAGTAATTCATCCCCATAGTAATTCATCCCCCATATATAATTCATCCCCCATAGTAATTCATCCCCCATAGTAATTAATCCCCCATAGTAATCCCCATAATCCCCATAGTAATTCATCCCCCATATAGTAATTCATCCCCATAGTAATTCATAATATAGTAATTCATCCCCCATATAGTAATTCATCCCCATAGTAATTAATCCCCCATATAGTAATTCATCCCCATATAGTAATTCATCCCCCATATAGTAATTCATCCCCCATATAATTCATCCCCATATAGTAATTCATCCCCCATAGTAATTCCCCCATAGTATAGTAATCCCCATAGTAATTCATCCCCCATAGTAATTCATCCCCCATATAGTAATTCATCCCCCCATATAGTAATTCATCCCCCATATAGTAATTCATCCCCATAGTAATTCATCCCCCATATAGTAATTTCATCCCCCATATAGTAAATCATCCCCCATAATTCATCCCCCATATAGTAATTCATCCCCCATATAGTAATTAATCCCCCATAGTAATCCCCCATAGTAATTAATCCCCCATATAGTAATTCATCCCCATAGTAATTCATCCCCCATATAGTAATTCATCCCCATAGTAATTCATCCCCCATAGTAATTAATTCCCCCATAGTAATTCATCCCCATAGTAATTAATCCCCCATATAGTAATTAATCCCCCATATTAATTCATCCCCCATATAGTAATTCATCCCCCATAGTAATTCATCCCCCATATAGTAATTCATCCCCCCATAGTAATTCATCCCCCATATAGTAATTCATCCCCCCTATAGTAATTCATCCCCCATATAGTAATTCATCCCCCATATAGTAATTAATTCCCCCATAGTAATTCATCCCCCATAGTAATTCATCCCCCATAGTAATTCATCCCCCCTATAGTAATTCATCCCCCATATAGTAATTCATCCCCCCTATTAATTCATCCCCCATATTAAGTCCCCAAGTCCCCCCTGTGTCAATTCACTTACCTTTGCTCCGCGCGTTCCTCTTGTTCCTCTTGTTCCCGAGCCGTTCCAGTGTAGCATGAAAATCTGTCTCCTATGAGGATCTGTCCCCCTCGACGTATCTGCGCATGTGCCAGTTTCAGGCATTAGCAGCCAGATCGGCGATCTCCGGCACATGCGCAGATACGTCGAGGGGGACAGATCCTCATAGGAAACAGATTTTCATGCTACACCGGTCTTCAGGGCGGACTGTGAGAGGAGCCTAGCGGGAGCCTAGCTCCGCGGGCCAGATTAAAAGGTCCGCCGGGCCGTATACGGCCGCGGGCCGTAGTTTGCCCATTGCTGTGCTAGACTCTAATAATTATAGATCATTTTATTACTAAACATAGATATAAAATACTTCCCAGCATTCTGTCTTCAAACTTAAAGTATGTGTATGTGACTCCTCACCTTGTAAAAAGCCCATTTATTTGAAAATAGAAAAAATATTTGTTTATATTATATATATATATATTTTATTATGAATACCGTTCTTTGCTTATTTTTATATAAGTGTTCACATAATCTCTTTTCCCAACTGCTTAAGGGGCTTAGAGAGATGGAGGTGGAAGAACAGCAGTGCACTGATATGCCCAGTGAAAGGCGATCATTGGAGGACAGACAGGCTGTAATCCCAGCACAACCAGAAAACTGTCCGCACTGAGATAGGTGTGTTTTCATGCCTAGTGTGGTCAGTTTGAAAAAGGAAACCAGAGGGACTGGCAGGAGCACCAGGAATTTCATACAAAGGAAACAATGCAGAGATGCATGATACTTTTCATCATAGGTAAATGGTACCACAGGCACATATCAGGAATATGAAACGTTGGGGTAACATGTTCTTTAACATGTTTTCAGAAAAACTAATTTATAAGGATCCGGTTGGCTTCACCCCCATCCCCCCCCCCCCTTTGAGCCGACAGAAAAGCATTAGACAATATCTGCAAAATTATTAATCTGAACTCATGCACCAAAAAAACTTTTTGCAATGCTTCAATATCAGGACATTCATGAGACATTGAATGCTATATTTTGGGACTACATACACTATTTTCTGCTTAAAAGTGGATTCAAAGAAAATTTACTTTCTTGGTCAAAGGCTCTTTACCATAATGTTCATGTCTGATACCGCAACTCTTTTTTTTCTCCAACCATTTCTAATAGAAAAAGGAACCTGGAAGAGCTCTCACCTCTCACCCCTATCCTGTTTATCTTAGTGGTTGGAAAAAAACCTGTCTGTGTATACCCTGCCTAAGACATGAACAAATTAAAGGAGTAGTGTTTACTTTTAGATTACTGAAAGAGATAGTGTCTTTAAGCTCATAAAATATTTGAATAACATTCTTCTTAATGATTTATTTTTTACACACAAAATACAAATACACTTCCTTTCTCTAAGTATAAAGAAGGGCTTGTCGAACAGTTTTCTTTTTACAAGCTCCCTTCCATTTTGAGAAGATAAATTAAAAGTCTAATGTATCTTCAGAAAATACATATGTTACATTATTAGTGCAGTATTTAACTTAAAGTGATTTTTGATTTGACTCTCACATTTTACAAGCTTGCTCTTTTTAATAATTGTTAGGTTCTTAAAGTGGTTCCAAAGGCTGAAGGTTTTTACCTTCCAGCATTCTGTGTATGAGGGTAAAAAACCCGCCAAGGTGCAGCTTCCCCCTTATCCCCCCCTAATACTTACCCAGGGCCGCTGTTAGAAATCACGGGGCCCTGTACAGCCTATCTGACACAAACAACATACATTTCTGCTAAATCTAAAAGATAAAACTGTAAAGCTCTGTGTGTGTGTGTGAATGAGGTATTGGGGCTCATTCACATGGGTGCTGTGGCCTGTAAACTGTGAATCAGTGTTTTTTTTTTTTTAATGTGGTTGGAGCTGTGTGTAGGCAGATTATGTTACGCTATGGGGACACAACAGCTGTACGAACAAAGCTTCGAGTCCTACTTTGACACGTGTGGATGTAGGTGTACGGTATCAAACACAGACAGTAAATGTAAATTCCTCCGTCTCTTTCTCTGCAGCCTCAGCTGCACAGGACAGTGAATGAACAAAGGGTGCTCTGTACAGAGGCATCTGTTCATTCATAAACTGAAGCACAGTAAACACAGTTTACTATGCTTCAGTTATGAATGAACACAGTGAGTGATTGGTACTGATCACTGGATGTGTTCATTCAGGAAAGGAAAGGGCTGTTAAATATAACATATTTTCTGTCCCCTTCCCCTCGCTCTCCAAACTAAAACATCCCCGTGTGCGTGCAGCAGCTAGTGGGAGGGAGAGGAGGGAAGCCAGAAGTGCTGCAGGGGGATGGGCACAGGGGGGCCCAAGCAGCCAGGGGGAAAGGGGAAAGAGAATGGTGCACAGGAAGGGTGATCAGTGTGATAAGGGGGGCAATTACTGAAACCTATTCCCTGTATGGTTTCTCTTTGCAGTAGCTGAAAGCGGACGCTGGAGGGAGAGGAGCTTTCAGCTGCTACAGAGAGAGCCATACAGTGAATCATTTCCAGTACCTTGTACTTCCCAGAGCTGATCTCAATCCAGTGATTTGCACAAGAGCCGAGGCTCTCCTGGATTTCTCTCTTCTCATTGGCTGAGACACTGCAGGGGAGCCATTCACAATCACAGCCAAAAAGGAGGTGGCAGGGGGCGGGTCTGAGCCACACTCTGTGTGTCCCATAGACACCCAGAGGCAACTTGGGTGCAAGCAAGATGTGCTGGATACCTGTTGATGGTGTGTGTGCGTGTGTGTGGTGGTGGGGATATAATGGCTACCTGCTGTAGGTTGAAGTAGGAGAAATGTGCTGGGCACCTGCTCTATGTGGGTGGGGGAAGAGGGGGAAGATGTGCTGCTGCATCCATCCATTCATATACCCCCCCTTTTTCTGAGAGAAAAGGTATGTGCCGGAGACCTGTAAGGGGATGGAATGTGCTGGACACCTGCTGATGGTTGGAGGACATATAATGTTTACCTGTTGTAGGTGGGAGTGGAGGAAGTGTGCTGGCTACCTGACCGCTTGATTAGGTTTTATGTACCTTTATTTGTCTTTACGTCATATGACGTCCTCCCAGAATGCGCCCTCTCGCGCACCCCCAAGTGCATCACGTGATCGGAGTAAATACAGTTGCCGGTTATCGGCAGCACTTTCTTCACGCTGTCACAGCATGAGGAGACTACTGCGGATAACTGGTAGCTGTCACAGAGCAGATTGGCACTGATGATCAGTGCCCTGCAGTGCCACCCACCAGTGCCCAGCAGTGCCACCCATCAGTGCCCCTCAGCAGTTCCACCCATCAGTGATGCCCAGCAGTTGCACCCATCTGTGCCCAGCAGTGCTGCCAGTCAGGGCTGTCAGTCAGTGCAGTCAGTCAGTGCCGCCCGCCAGCATTGCCCATCAGTGCCACCTATCAGTTCCCATCAGTCTTGCCTGTCAGTGCCGCCTATCAGTGACCATCATTGCTGCCTATCAGTGCAGCAGCATCAGTGCCTCCTCATCAGTGCCCAACAGTGCTGCCTCATCAGTGCCACCTCATCAGTGCAGCCTATCAGTGCTGCCTATCCGTGCCACCTCATCAGTGCCCATCAGTGCTGCCTATCAGTGCAGCCTCAAAAAAATACATGTTTGCAAAATTTTATAATAGAAAAAAGAAAAACTTTTTCTTTTTTTTCAAATTTTTTGCTCTTTTTTTGTTTATACTGCAAAAAATAAATCACCCAGCGGTGATTAAATACCAGCAAAAGAAAGCTCTATGTGTGTGAAAAAAAATGATAAAAATTTCATATGGGTACAGTGTTGCATGACCGCGCAATTGTCATTCAAAGTGCAACAGTGCTGAAAGGTGAAAATTGGCCTGGGCAGGAAGGGGGTATACTGTAAGTGCCCTGTAGGCTAGTGGTTAAATTCCCTAGTAAAACAAAAAAAAAAACCAAAAACTAAAAAACTGTTTCTTGTGTCTGGATACAAGTGGAAAATGTGTGTTGCCTGGCTGTGCAGGAAAATAGGGGGACCCAAACTCAGCAGCTCTCAAGGGGGTAGAGGTACATACAAGTCAGATGTCATTTTTAGTGAGATACTGGCAGGGCATTTTTACAGGGGGAACACAGTTCTGGCACCTACAGCATTGAATGTATGTAATGACAAAGGGTGCTGGGGTGTGCTGGATGGCCTATTGATGCTTGCTGTTGGAATTTATTGTTGCTGGGGCATCTGTTGTTCAGAGAGGGGTCTATTGTTGATGATCTCCTAGACTGTAAGCTCTAACGAGCAGGGCCCTCTGTTTCCTCTTGTACCAAATTGTATTGTAACTGTAATGTCTACCTTCATTTTGTAAAGTGCTGCGTGAACTGTTGGCGCTATATAACTCCTGTATAATAATAATAAAATTGAGGTCTTATGTTGATGGGAGGGATCTATTGTTGCTGGTGGGATCTATTGTTGCTGGTGGGGCCTATTGCTTCTGGGATGGATCTATTGTTGCTGGGGAGATCTATTGTTTTTGAGGGACTATTTTTGCTTGTTGCTGGGGATCTATTTTACTGCTTTTTTTATTATTATTAACAAATTCCATACAAATTACTTAGCAAGCATCACAAATAGATACTTGGTTTTGTGTTCTCTGACAGTACTGGGAGGTGGGTAGGGAGTGAAACCAAGGGGCGGTGCTTGGAGGTGGGTTGGATGCAGATACGAACAGTTACTCAGAAGAGGGGAGTACCTGCCAGGGGCGGACTGACCATTTGGAAAGTCGGGCACTGCCCGGGGGTCCAGGGTCAGTAGAGGGCCCCATGAGATGCCCCTGGTACCTTTTTCATAGGCTTTTTTGAGTTTGGGCAAGGACACAGGGGCCCCATGATCCCCTATTGCCCGGGGGCCCCATGAGTTGTCAGTCCGCCCCTGGTACCTACATCTATTTTCTGAGATGAAAAGCCCTACCAAAGGAGAAATCACGTCTAAAGGGATGCAGACCCTGCCACTTTCCTCATTAGACCACTGCAAGTGCAGCAGCTGGTTGATCATTTTTGAAATCACTCTCATTCACATTCATTTTGCACATGGACAAACCAACAGTTATTTCTTCAGAACAACAAAAGGCAGGAACCTGCATCAAACTACTATATCCACAATGAGAAAAAATAGTTTTGACTATACATACATTTTAACACACTGTACTGTATCAGTAGAATTTTGAATAATGGATTTTCCCATGTAGCATTTGTGTGGTTCTTGAAGCACACAAAAGGAAAGAAAGCTGCATATTTTCTCATTGTGGGTAGGCTTAGCTGTAGATTATAAATGTAGCTGGGAGAAGCGTGGAAAGAGGGAGGGATGTTTTCCTATAGAGCGATTAGTTACATTTTGATTGACCTCACATTCTTACCCTGTGGCGGGGACTGTTCTTTGTTGGAATATATTTGTTACAATTTAAATGCTGCATTTTTGGTCAGACATGCCACAAATCTAGTGGCAGCCTAAATGGCATAGCTGCTTACACAAGGAGCTATCAGTTAATTATTAACAGTTTAAAATAAACACACAAATCATTTTACTTTTCCAAATCCAATTAATCTAGTTTCCAAGAAAACTAGGAAACATGCACAAAGATAGCATGTTTTTTTAAAAAAAAAAAAAAAACAATAATATTTGTCATCTAGAGACAGCACTGATATATGGTATGTGACAAATGTATATTAGATACACATCTATAAGAATTACAACTGTTAAAACTAAAGTGTATAATTTGCCTGAGCTGATTATGCATTAGCTGGGTTTTGCTATCTGTATTGCACCAGTTTTAAAGTGCTGGTATTTTCAATGTCCCCGAGGGTTCCTGATTTCCCAATTTGCTACCAAGGTAACAATAGAAACAATCCCATTTAACAATGAAGAGTAGTGAGGAGTATGAGAGATCTTCAGATGGTGCAGGCTAGCAACCAGTGCAGCAAAGACAACACAAACAGTGTGAGCAATGGGCGGGTCTGAAAGCACAGTACAGAAATCTTCAACACTTCTGTAAAAGTTTGTCTTCTGACCTAAATATACATCATTGGACAGTTCTGGACATTTGCTGTGGATCTGTAAGAAAGCCTACTATCAAAATCAGCTGCTAGTTCAAAGCAGAGGAATGTGAGTGTGGTGGGGGCTGCTGGGATTGGAGGTCTCAGGAGAGGTCGGCCATGAAAGATGTCAACTCTCTCTTTGCTGAGCCGAGGGAATGCCCAGGTGGTCAAAACTGCCCAAGAGAGGATAGAAATCCACTATGAACCACAGGTAAGATGGTTATTACTTACATTATCTGCAGATTTCTTTTTTAAGACATGAGTATAATTTAAATCAGTCACTTACTATTTAACATAACTGACATTTTTTTTTTTACTTTGCAGTTAATATTGCATTACTGTATGAAAAGTGTCATCAACTTGAAATGATTAATTGATGAATTTACAAATTTCTCACAAAAGGCCAATCCACCCAAAACTAGTATTTCATTTTGGAAAGATGCTGGCAGGTACCAGTAGAAAAGCATATAAACCAATTCACCCTCAATATGCTTGTTCTATCCCCCGTAGTAGGACTGGGAAGCAACACTGGAGTGCTCCAGCATAAAACAAGACTACCTAGACATGGGGTGATCAGCGCCTCCAAATAAGGGGAAAATCAACATTTATTAAAGTCGATCAAAAACATCAGACAGTGCTGCATTATATACAGATAGCATGTTTCATCCTGAAGGTCTTTTTCAAATCTGAGCCCCACCCTGTGGTCTGGATTTTCCTTCTTTGTAATTGGGTCTCACTATATTTTCATTAAAGCATCACTGTAAAATAGAAAAAAAAAACACAAGAGACACCTGCAAAAGAAGAGGTATAATAAGTACGTCTCTGATGCCCATGCCCATGGAGCAAGCTTTGCTTTTTTTTATAGATCTATAGCTGGTACTGCCATCCGACACACCTGGAAGTGTCAGATGCCAGTAGAAAAATAAAAGGCATGGACAGCAAAGAGGTAAGCATTATACCTTTTCTTTTGCATTTTTTGTGCGTAGACTGGGTTGCTTTGTATATAATTTTCTATTCTATTCTAGGCAATTATAGTAAAAGCTTACAGACTTCTGCTGCTACAATAATTAGACTCCACAAATCGAAAAGGTAGAGCCAGTAAATTCAGCAAGCATATCTCTGCTTTAGAAACCCCAAAACATAAGCCAGTGGGTGATTCAGCCTCCTGATATATGTCCAAAGCGAAAATGTCACTTTTTCGGTTGATTGATCCAGCTGGAGCTCATAATTTAAAGCAGAACTTCATCCTGATTATTTTTGTGAGCAGGGAGTGGGTACCTAGTTTTCAGAGGTATCCACTCCCACAGGAATCACCTATGGCGATTCCATTGGACATTAAAATTATTCTCTACATATAATTCTTCTGTTGGTAATAGGCCATAGCAAGCACCCCTCAGCCTGCAATTGTTACAGTCAGTTTCCAGAAACCACTACCATATGGAAACATTTAGACCTTAGCTGACCCCCTGCCATACAAACAACCAGGGAATTGTCAGTCAGTCTAATTGGGATACAGTATACAATCCCAAAAATAATTATTTGATCCCCTGCAGATTTGCCCACTTACAAAGAAATGAAGGGTCTATAATTTTTTATCATTTTTATTTTAAATGATAGAGACAGAATATCAACCAAAAATCCAGAAAAAAACACATGATACAAATGTTATAAATTGAGTTGCAGTTCAGTGAGTAAAATAGGTATTTGATCCCCTACCAACCAACAATAATTCTGGTTCCCACAGACTGGATATGTGCTCATGGGGTACACAGATTAGTCCTGAAAATTTAAGGTGCTCCTAATGACAACTCGTTATGTGTATGTAGCACTACCCCGAGCAGTTGCTGAAGTTTTAGTCCCCCTATAGTCCTTCACAACCAGCCAACACACATTTTCACATAGACTTGCATCTAAGAGTCAATAACCAGTCCTTGAACTTTGTTTGTTTTTTTTATTTAAGGTAAGGGTTGTACGGGATGCCCAATGAAACTGTAACTGAGGACAATCTTCCTGAACTATGTACAAGTCTTTACACAAAAATACTCTTCTTGGAGAGCTAGCCAGCATCTCTGGTTGTACCACCCCATACCCCAGTTGCCAGCTATCTGAGGGTAATCCCTGAGCAGGGGATCCAGTGCCTGCCACATTAAAGTAAGACATTCCCAAATAGTTGCTAATCTGGTTCCCCACCAGAGTGCTCTTTCCCCTATCTGCCCCAGGGGTGCAGGTTTACTCACTTAGTCCTTCTCCTGTGTGGCTGGTGGGTCGGTGGCTGCTACCAGGCCTTCTAGCTGGGCCACTCCTTCCCTGCCACACAGGTGGTCCTCTCTCAAGTCTCAAGCTTTCCTCCTTCCAAGGCTCTCTGCCTGTAGGTGAGCCCCTCTCCACCTGGGCCCCTTTCCATGCTCCTCTCTCCAGCCACACTTCCTCTCTATCTTCCACCCAGGGGCG